GGGAGAAGGCCTGCCTGATATATTGAATATTCATGATGCATTTTGCTGGCCATTTGCAATTAAGCGGCATTGTAAATATTGCTAGATGTTTGTTAAGGGCTGTTTATACAGTTTTAATGATTGTTCTAATTCTGTGAGAACAGAGACGTCTACACCATAGCTATCCATCTTATTTCAACACAAAACTATGCTATTTTCTGTGAATGTGCGAGTTTTTCGATTCATTAGCCACTATAGGTAAATAACTACAAGAATTACAAAGCGCAGTAAACGGTAAAACTATTAGTTTGCTACAAACCAGTGTGTTTATGATTATGATAATGAAGTCAAATAATATGATAACAAATACCAGTTTGCAGTATCAAGCAGCATAATGGACTGTTTTTGTACAGCTAAAATAACTGGAAGCGAATTACACTTTAAGTTAAAAATGGCCGCCCTCAACGTTACGTTAAAAATAAGATGCATAACGATAACAACAGGAACAATATCATTGGAATCACTTTAAGAATTTTTTTTTTTTCAGCTGATGAATGATAAAAACATTGAAAGCCAATCAGAATCCATGCGACTTTAAAGAGTTTGAGCATTTAAAGTGGTAAACAACAAAACTGCAGTACGGGCATATAATAAACAGAACATTATTATGATTTGGTATAGATGCTATAATGTAGTTAACTTGTCTCATGAATCATAAATATGAGTGTTGAGATGTTTTAAAAGCATCTCTGGTGTAGTATAAATAGTACGTTTGATTCTTTCTGGTGAATCAGTTTGAAAAGTCTGAAAGTTTAAATGAATTGATTCAAATGAGTCAACTCAAGTCAAGGGACCAAGTGATTCATTTGTGTCATTCAAAATGTTCACCTTTTTTGAGAGGTGTTTTTGAAATATTTAAATATATTAGTAAAATAATCTATCTAAATAAATATATATAAACATATTTTTCTTTCACGAAGACAATTGTGGAAAGCATGCCTTGATTTTTTTTTTTTAATTCAGACGTTTTATTCATTGAAAACAATTCCCTATATAGCCCATCAAAAGATTTTTGGCAGCGTAAACCTACAGTTTGCAGTCGCTCATCAGAAAGGGTTACATAAAGAAGGGCAAGTTCGCCCTGTTTGGTGTGTGTGTGTGTGTGTGTGTGTGTGTGTGTGTGTGACTCGTGGGATTAACGCAAGATGTACAGTATGTGAGTGTGAAATTATGGTTTCTGCAGTAAAAAGTGTTGTGTGTGTGTGTGTGTGTGTGTGTGTGTGTGACTCGTGGGATTAACGCAAGATGTACAGTATGTGAGTGTGAAATTATGGTTTCTGCAGTAAAAAGTGTGCCACGTTCAAGACGCATTAGACTGCCAGACTGCAGAAACAGTTTGCATCTCCTTTTATCCAGTTTCATCAGTAGCACCAATGCAGAATTTAACAAAGCATGTCATTCTGTTCTGCAGAATAACAATAGATCAATTGCACAAATGCCTGTTTACAATGTGATCCAATACATTTACTAACTGCTTATACTGTATGTATACACCATATATAATTTCATATACTGTATGTCAAAAATGTTTTAAAACAAAGATTTAAAGGTTTCATGTGAATTCCAGTCCAAATAATTTGTGATGAATTAAATTCCCATATGCCAACAAGCTGTCAACAGCTCTGTTATGAATTTCAGTCACTAAAGACTACAGAGTTGTATAAAAACTGCATTTGCCATTCTCTATTTCTTCTTTGTCTTCATTCAGATGTCATTTTTTGAATGCAAACCCATTTTCTGAATGTCACAGACAAAACATTTTTTTTTAATTATCCTTTGATAACTGTAGAATAGATGAAGCACTGGTGCACGAGTCAGTGGGTTGACACCGCTAGAGACGTCACCACCGTAATTACAGTCTACCTCCAAAAGACTCAGTACCTACTCTTTGTGTCTCATCTAGCCCATTATTCTGCACATACCCACCACAATCACTGTTGCACATTACATCAAAAATAAGATTGGCTTAGGAACATCTAACTTATGTGTGTAAAGCTGTCTTGATACTGACAATCTAAGCATGATTGCCACTGTGTCCAAGAATAGAATCTTGTTAACTGAAAATGGGAATCACTGCATATTAGCTCTGCACCACCAGCCCAATCTGAGGCTGTCTGAAAAGCTAATTATTCCCCAAACTGAATACGGCCAAACTGAACGGCCCCCACTGAAATCAAATGAAGCAGGCTACATTCTCTCTGGTTAATTGTGAGCTACTGTATGAGTGGATGTTGCATGGGTGTGTACTGCAGTGTCACGACTGCTGTCCAGATATTACATTTCTAGATTTCTTTTGCATTTGCCTAATCACTATGAATGAGGGAAATCTTCATCTGAAAAAATGTGTTCATTGGCTGCATTTAGATGGTTTTTTTTTTTATGAATGAGGAGCTGCAGCGTTGCATCATGTTACTGTAACTGAATCAAAATAAAATAATAAATAAAATAAAAATAAAAAAATCTTACAAATGAAACCGCCAACAACAATAAATTCTAATAATAAAATTAATTTTAAAAATATTTATTTGTCCTATTTTGTCATATTGTAAATATTCTTGTAATATAAATCATGTAATTTAGTGTTTAAAAGGATCAGAAAGTCTGAATGTTTTTAATAGCATGTTTTTATATTTCTCTAAATAAAAGGTTCTAAAATCTATTTGGATGAGCCGTGTTTGTAAAACTGCCTTAAAATGAATTGTATATTAATGTGGTCTTAATGTTTCTATTACATAATCACCTACTATATTATTTGGTGGAATAATTATTTATTGAGATTATCATTATTAAGAAATCAAATTTCTTTTGAACTTTGTTAATAATAATAATTGAATTTACCTTTGAATTGTTTATTAGTTAAATGTTTTGATTATTTTTCATTTGTATTATATGTTATATGCATTCATTATTTACAGTATTATAATTACTTTTTATTATTTTTTTTACAATAATGAACTATGTTTTTTTTTGTTTTTTTTTAAATCGGACTGCTTTTGAACATTGATGTGTTTCACATTGCTGTTGTGATGTAATATAAAAGCCACTCGAGGCCAGTCATTACAGTGAATTTACCACAGTTAAAGGAGGTTATGGCCATTCTGCTTCACTTTGTGCCAACAACACTGTAAGGCATGGCCTCTTGCGGCTTACTGCTTTATTAAACCCTACAGTGTTTGACCACTATGGAAGAGCATTTCATTTCAGTTGTGGTGGGATGGTTCTTTTAAGCACCTTGGCCCAGTTTTGTGAAGGTCATTGTGCTCATGTGCTATATATATTTATGGCACATATCAAAACACTTTTTCCAATAAAAATGCAATAAATCTAAATAATATTTATGTAAGAGCAATTTGAAAAGTAGTGGATACAATAATGGATGCTTAATGCTTAAAATGTTTACTTGTAAACTTCTATTTACTTTCATTTTAAAGTGACATTTTTTTTTAAACAATTGTAAATATGGCCATGCAGAAATGTGTTATAGTCATTACGTCTTTGTCTTAACTAGCTTATTTAACATTTAAAGGTATTGTACACCCATATTCGAAAAAAGCTTTTACTCGCCCTCATACCATTTCAAACCCATATTGAATTTATGTCTTTGTGGGACACAAGAACACAAATGTCCATGTTGTCCTGGTTGTATGTAATGAAAATGAATGATGACTGAAGATGTCAAGCCTCAAAAGGACGCAAAACAGTAGTCCGTATGCTTTGTGAATATAAGTCTTCTAAAGCCAACAATTAATCATTGATATTCATCGGATGTTTTGAAAGTTCATTCTAAAAGTAACTTTTCATAACGTAACTGAAATGTTAGAAAAACGTTCTTAGAACATATTTTTGTTACCTGGTAGAAGTATAGCTTCTTGTTAGGCTACGTTTACACTAGTGCGTTTTCGTTTAGTTTTCGTTTTAAAATGCATAACTTTTGCTACGGTTACGCCTGTCGTTTACACTACTCCGGCGTTTTCATTTTCGAAAACGCTGCAGACCCTGTTTTAGTTTGAAAACTCTGGGGTTGTGTTTCAGTGTAAACTGACCAAAACGGAGACTTTTGAAAATGATGGTGTGGCTGCCCACATTCGCTGTGCGTATCCTTGTCGACCGTGTAAACAATAACGTCATGCTCATTGTTGTACCTGCATGAATGGTCATGTGACATGCGCTTTCGGTTGTGTAGTGTGGACGGAGATTGTTTCTGAAACGCAGTGAAAACGCCAGAGTAGACGAGGATCGTTTTCATTTTAAAACGCCGTTTTAAAACGAAAACGCACTACTGTAAATGTAGCCTTTGTTTGCTGAGAGAAAGACATAATCTGACATTAATTTGATCGCATTACTCCATCCCCTGTGTGACATCATTAACAACAATTATATTGTTGAACCAACATGCTTCGAACAACAGATGTGTGACAAAGTTACTACAGTTTCGGGAAACTAGCTACTTAATTTCTCCAGAGATGCATCGTACTAAGCAGCGATTACATTATTGTACACCCCAGATGAGTTTTGAGAAGTCAATTAAATGATTAATTAAAAAGATTCATTCATGAGTAAAATATTAAAGCTGCAGTCCGTAAGCTTTGCCTGTTTGTCGCCATCTCTGTTTGAAACCTGCAATTGCAGTTATTTGCGGAATTATCTTCTTTACATGGGTTGTGCATCGACATGGCTCCTCAGCACGGATGAATCTAATTTTTTGAGGTGTATGTGTGGGCTGTCAGTCAACGCACCAGTGTGGATATTCGCTGTACTTCGGAATTACAGATTCTCGCAATTGTGTGTTTACTTCTCGCAATTTTTTTTCTCAGAATTTCAAATTGTGAGATTAAAAAGTCACAATTACCTTTTTCTGCTGTTTTATTCTGTGGCGAAACGAGGCTGAGTAAATGATGACAGATTTTTTTTTTAAATTGGTGAACTGTCTCTTTAAGCCACCCCCTCCAACTCCACACACACACACACACCTACACAGACTCCCCTAGCTACCTCACGCACGGACGCGTGGACGCTGCAGCGCGTGCGAGAGAGAGAGAGAGAGACAGACAGACAGAAAGACAGACAGATCGACAGACAGAAGAGAGAGAGCGCGCGCGTTCTAAGCAAAGCGGCAGCACGCGCGAGTGGCGGCAAAAGAATGCCCATCTCCTGACTAATAACGAATGGGTTGGCGCGCTTTCCGTTCTTAGAGGTAATACGAGTAGACTGTGATGGGTGGCAGCGGCGTGCTCCCTCGCGTGGAGTGATTTCTCTATCAGTGCTGCTACCGCTGCTGCTGCTGGAAATGGCGCTGTGATGTTCAACAAGGAAGACGCAGTTGAAGCCGATGCCAGGGAGAAGGAGGAGAGAATAAATTGTTGTTATTATTAGTAGTACCTGCGCTTCTGGTGCGGATTTTTGTGTTTCAAAAAAAGCGGTGAACAGTACCATGGTGAATTACCAGGACTACATTACTGTAATGCAGCTGGCTCTAGGGGTGACTGCCATCAACAGAGAGCGTAGCCTGCCTCCCAGAAAACATATGTGGTGAGTATTTATATATATGGATGTGTGAGGGGCTGCTATTCGGCACTGCAGCTTGCTAGGAAGAAAGTCTTGACTCTATAGTGTCCGTTTTACTTTATAACCATGTAAATGTCTCTTATTTCAGTCTCATCGGCGGCAGTGCGAGCAAAGTTTGAATGTTCATAAAGCCCTTTACTTTGTCATTTCATTCACGATTCACTCTACTACAAACTCAAGCATGTCACATCATTCATATGTGTATGTCTACTATGTGCACTTTCAAATGAAATAAAAAGCTAAAGGCATGGACGGGTGTTTCTTTGCATTGATTTGTGTGTGTTCCTGTCATTGTCACTGTGTGTGTGTGTGTGAGTTACAAGCAATAAAATTGTCTTTGTACAATTTAAACTACAGTTGTGTGTTTCTTGTTTCTCACAAGTGCTTGTCAAATTGGGCGTTTGTTGTTGCATCTTTAGTAGTTTGGTGTTTAGTAGTTTTTCTGTGTGAGAAAAAGAAATACGCATACTATGCTGTGACAAAATTTACATTATTTGCACTGTATGCATACGTAAAAACCAATATACGTCACATACTTCATACGTCACAACTCAGGATAGTCGCTAGTGTTGGTCTGTGAAAGTTTTTCTGGTGCTATAAGCCAATTAACTAAACTGTGACTAAAAAAGCCAAGGTGTACATATTTCCAAATCACATCCAAATCCAAATCACATCTAAACCACATATATTAGATTAATTGGAATGCTAACAGATAGCTTTGCGTACTTATAGTATATTACTGGTCTTTTGGTACACATTTGTGTACATTTTTTAAACTCTCCATATATGTGCACACACAGCAGAAATGTTGTCCTTGAACTCATTCCCAGATTATTTAAATGTATTAGAGATTAACTGAAGGTGAGACCTCACTTGGTTTCCTCAGGCCAACATCAACCTCATTGTCACACTAATGTCTTTGTCCTCTCTTTAGTCTTCCATTCTCTGCCGATCTCGTTTAACGCTCTAAATTACAGTCCAGTGGAGGCGTTTTAGACGCTTCTTCAATTCCTTTTTCAGTTTATGGTAGCCTATTCTTCGAAACCAGAAGCTAGCAACAGCCCAGGAGGCTTCCTTAATCTACCACTTAATATGGAAATGAGGTCTCCTATTCATTGGTGCCCCAGTCAGCAGGTTGAAACAGAAGATTTGCCATATTGAATTTCGTTTTGCAGGGGTTTCCAACAAATCCTCTTCACAAACATGTGGTAAGCGGTTATGGTACAAGGCATTCAAATGGCCTCTTCTACTGTACAGGGACTGTCTTACATCCTGCCACAGCTACTGTAAACCATGTGCTCCAGGGGTATTATATAACCTCTCCCCAACCTCTGCAAGGTCAGGTTTCTCCTTTATATCGCAGAGGCATTTGAAGGTGCACAATGTGAAAAAAAAAAAGTAGATTTTTTTTTTTTTTTACTGTATATAGAAATACCTAACACTTTTTTTTTTATATTAAAGCCATTTCTGCCCTTTTTATGAACTAGATACCCATATTATCTGCATTCAGTTTACATTATTTTAAAAATAATATAAGGTTAGTTGGATTGGTTTTACATGCTGTGGTGTATTGTTGGTTACTGGAACATGATTATGGAATACAGGTGCATCTCAATAAATTAGAATGTCGTGGAAAAAACACACACGACTGCATTTGTTCCTGACTCTCGCTATGGTGCCCTTAGGCCATTCTGTGCTGGCTGAAGAGAAAATCATATTAACGTTTGTGATAATGGCAGCAAAGATAATGTTGATGGCAGTCATGGATGGTAGCCTAGTGGTCAGCATTGTGTCTAAACTGTGGATATTGACTTGCTGATCAAGCAGTATCCTTTGCTTTCTATATCTAATTGTGCCTGATAGCTTTATGAGGCACATAGGAAGAAGTCAGGAACTCACACACTACCCAAGTTGATTGTAGACTTTTTGTAGGCTTTTCTTTGTGGCTTTAACAGTGCAAAGCATCTTGTTTGGACAGCAAAATTAGCTGGACACTCAGTAGTATAGAGCTTGACCTTTACTTTTTTGTGTGATTTAATGTGGGTGATTTGTGTCTATTATGGATGGATGACTGTGGATATGTGCCATAATAGAATTTTTCTCAATGAATATCCTGTTTTGCTTTGAAATATGTCACATTACACAAGTGAAAAGAGTTGCCAATGTCATTTTATGTTGACTTTAACCGAAACTGATTTGTTGAGTAAAACTGTATCTCCAGTTGTGTTAATTTGCTCATTTTATATATTAAATAAATGTTAATTTTTTATATTAAATGCACTATAGCAGCCAGAATTCCCTCCTTCTTGTTTAAAAAAGCATTTTCCTTCAGATCCCAGTAGGCAAAATAAAAGCCCCTGTAACTATTTACTTATTTTTACTTTAATATTCTGTTACTGTATTTTAATTTTAATTATCCATCAAAGAGTAACAGAGGCTGTCATATCTAAACTAAATAAAATATTTTAAAAAATGTGCCTATAATGAAAGTCAATGACAATGAGCTGAAATGAGCTTTTTGTTTTCCAAAGGCTTAATGACAGAATTTTCAATTTTGTGTGAACTATCCCTTATAAATATCTATCTTTTCATTGTTTTTATGTCATGAAATTCAAAGTATTTCTCTCTTTCTCTTGTGCTTCAATCTCAGGGTCTTCCCCAAACACGACAAAGACAAATACGGGCCTGCAGTGTAAGCATTTTAAACCCCTTTCACTCCATTTCACTAACGAAACTCCATTGGTTGTGCTCATCTTTTTAATGGAGATTAAATTTACGCCACATTTTAACACACACTGTCTGTCATTTTCTTAGTTACTATCCCAAGATCCACGGTTTCATCCACACCCCAGAAAACATCGCTCTGCTGGAAGAATCTGAGGGATCGGTGCACGGCAAACCATCCCTGCGCAGAATCAAGGGCCGAATCCACCGCAGCAAGAGCCTGGACAGCATCGACCTGCTGGACTCCAACGTGAGTTAAAGACTGCATCCACTGCAGTAATGCTGGGGTGGGGGTGGGGAGTGTGTGTGGCGTGTTTGTGTGTGTGCCAGTGTGTATTCAAATGAGATTGCGCCCATAGATGTTGTGTGTCAGCCCTCAGTGTGCGAGTATACATATATTTGAAAAGCGATTCCATCACTGTGTGTGTGTACGTGTGACTGTTTGTTTATGAAAATGCACATGTACCAGTATGTCAGTATGTCTAGGGAATTTCTGCAAGAGTGAACATGACATGCACAATTGTATAAGTCCACTTATTCACAATTATTGCATACATTATTAAAAAGCACACAGCTGGAGTCAATTCATAAGTGTTTGTAAAAGTAAATCTGGAATCAATGGATGTAAGAGGACATCATTTAAAGGGACAGTTCACTTAAAAATGAAAACTGTCGTCATTTTCTTATCTTCGTGTCATTCTAAAGTCATCATTTGAGCTTTGAATTCTTTTCTAGATTTTCTTCCATTGAACTAGATAATAGATTTTTTTGCAGAGTTTTCAAACTGCTCTTTTCCATACAATGAAAGTGGTGGGGACCCGGCGATTTTGAGATCCAAAAATTACAAAAAAAACACCATGAAAGTAATCCGTACAACTCCTGTATTATATTGCATGTCTTCTGAAAGCATCTGATAGCATTGTGTGCATAAAAAAGTAGAAATTTAAGTAGCTATTCACAGAAAATCTTTGTCATCGGGCGCAATGAAAGGGAACGTTGTCAGAACGCTTTCAGCAAATAATGGCTTACGTTTAGGTTTATTCCGCACACAAAGCTATCATATGGTTTCAGAGGACTTGGAGTTTCATGCTCAAGTTGTATGTACTTGGTAGTTTTTTTTTAATACATTTTTGGAGCTCAACAGCCCCAGTCCCCATCCACTTCCATTGCATGGAAAACGTTCTGCTAAACACCTACATTTGTGTTCCATGAAAGTAATACATACAACTCCTCTATTATATTGCAGGCCTTCTGAAACCATCTGATAGCATTGTGTGCATAAAAAAGACAGAAATTTAAATAGTTATTCACAAAAATGTCATCTGGCGCAATGAAGCGGAATGTGTCAGAACATTTTCAGTGAATAATGGCTTAAGTTTAGGTTTATTTTTCACACAAAGCTATCATATGGCTTCAGGGGACTTGGAATATTGTGCACAAGTTGTATATACTGCTTTTTTGGTATTTTTTGACAGTTTTGAAGCTCAACAGCCCCAGTCCCCATCCACTTCTATTGTATGGAAAACATGTTAAGCGTTTGTGTTCCATGAAATAAAATAACATTTAGTACTACACAAGGGTGATTAAATGGTGATAGAATTGGCTTTTTTGGGGGTACATCTGTGTTCCATGAAAGAAAATAATAATTAGTACTACACAAGGGTGATTAAATGGTGATAGAAATTCAATTTTTGGGGTGAACTATTCCTTGCATGCTGTGTATTTATGCTAACTGTTGTCCAATCTAAAATTCTTTTTAAAATGACATTTTCCATCATGAATGTTACATGAGTCTGTCATGTTCACCCTGCGCAGACTGTCTGGATGCCTCATAGATACTTCATGGTCTCATACGTAATGCAACATCTTACTGAATCTGATTCCTGCACTGGGATACCCCGGAGTGGGTTTCCGTTTGCATATAAAACACCTGGGATTTGAAGTACATCAGGATGTCTCACAAATTGCTTCGCCTCCTCTGAAGAAATGCACTTTAACATGATTATCATTCTAATGAGCTTTGAATGGGACTTCCATGAGTAAATTCCACTTGTTTGAGTCTCTCGCACTTTGCAATTATGAATGAAATGATGTCTTTCTGGTTGAACAGGGTTTTTCTCAAGGGAAAATCTCAGTTGTCAGACGTTTTTTCCAGTTCATTATAAAAATGCTTCCTGTGGATTCTGTTTGAATAGGTTTGTTTGTACTTAAAACACACATAAGTTAATGATGAATATCATCTTAGCCTCTCAGATTCGTCAGTTACATAATGTTACCATGCAAAGCCGCAATCAGATTGTACATTATGCATTCACTGATGTCTTCATGTTATTTTAAAATTATTCCACAGTCATTGTATGCTATTTCTGTGAGGTGAATTTAGACTAGAGCATAATTAATAATTTATGACTAACTTAACTGAAAATAATACAAATGTTATGCATGCATAGTGTATTATCTTGTTGACTATCAAATGATTGAGATGATTCCTAAAAGTGTATGCATAAACATCTGCTTTAGTCACTTTAGTCTAGTGCTACTCTTGCAAATATATATATATATATATATATATATGGCACTTTAAAACTATTAAAATTCATTTTCATTAATTGAAATAATTAGCAACTAACTGAAATAAATGTTTTTAGTTGAAGTGCTAAAATTTCTAAAACTAAAATAACAATAATAATTTAAAGCTAAAAAAAAAAAAAAAAACTAAGACTAATAAAAAATGACCAAAGCACAGTAACACAGAAGTCTCTGGAGCGAGTGACAGGCTAAAGGTGGCCGGGTTAGTTCAGTGCCAAGTGACTGAGCAAATGTGCTTTTCAACAAAGCTTCCTCCACAAAGGCTGCCGGCTTTAGTGAAGTGAGTTTGAACCGGTTCATTAAACCCCTTTTAAAACGCTGTTGCTCTGCCTGTGCTTAAAATATCTGGCCTCTCCAGAACATCTCAGTGAAATAAGGGGTTATCACCGCCCAGGTCCCTGCTCTTTAATACTGAGCATATTTCTCTTTTAACAGAACACACACGCACACACACGTACACAGGCTGGTGGAAAGTTGCTGACTGGGCTCGAATGCCAACCGCAGCTGATGAGAGTAACGTTCCGGCACACAGTGAGTGATGATGCCGCAGCAACGCTTGAGTGAAGACCTCTCTACTGCTGCCACTCGCTCTACTGAAAGACAGAGCAGAGAAAAACACACAGAGCCACCCACTGCAGAGAGAGCAGGTTAAAACTCGCTGCCAGAATGCTAAGGTGTTGAGTTTGGTTGCTAGGCTGTTGCTACGTGTTTGCTAAGGTGTCCTAGGTAGTTGCTAGAGCTTTGCTTGGTGGTTTCTAAAATTTGGTTTATGAGTGGTTGTTTAGTGACCCAGGTGTTACACCTAATTGATTTTAAAAGCACATAATTTGAGTAATTATTCAAGTTGATCACATGGTGCAAGGTGAGTTATGCATGACTCTCAATAATAATACTATTATAATGATAAGTTGCAATAATAATAATGATGGTTGCCATAAAATAAAAGCATAAAGCCGATAAAATATGTGGATGGAATAGCTCAGATAATTTAGTCTTGGAAATATTCAATAAGAAATGGTTGAGGATTTAAAATATCTTAATTTTGATTGCAGATTTAGCATTGAAGAAGCATCTTAAACCAGCCTAAGATGGTTTGCTGGTCTTAGCTGGTTTTAGCTGGTCTTAGCTCGCATCTTGTGTCAGCAATTTTCAGCTAGTCAGGCTAGGAGACAAGTTGGATGCCCTGATAAATACCAGGTTGGAAGACCAGCTAAAACCACTTAAGACCAGCAAACCATCGTAGGCTGGTTTAAGCATTTTTTTTTGCCGAATCTATGGAGCCCCTAAAGGGACACAGTAATGAAAAAAATGAAAAAGGAAGAAAAATTATATTTTAGTACTCTTGTGTTGTCTTGCAAAATGCTTGAGTTCCCATAAATACATCTGCGTTCGCTCGCAAAACTTCCCCTAAGAAACCTTGAGGTCGCTCAAGAAACTGCGTTCATTTGCAAAACTTAGCGTTCACCTGAGAAACATTTGCCTTCCTTTGAGAATCATTGAGTTCACTGGAGACACTTTAACTTTCCATGAGAACCTTTGCAAAACTTTTGCGTACCCCCGTGAAACTTTGCTTCTGCACGCAAAATGTTTGCGTTCCCCTGAGAAACTGCATTCACTCGCAAAACTTTTGTAATGGAAATATGAAACACTATATTTAAGTTTCAAATACTTTTGTGATAGAATATGAAAGAGGTTGAGATTTTGAGATCCCTTTGAAACTCTAAAGGAAACATATGAGATTTTTCTGTGGAAAAATATTGTAGAAAAAGTCTCAATTTACTGTCTATCACCCTCTAGGCAGAACAATTGAATTATTACTTTGCAAATTAACTTTTTTTTATTCTTATTATTTCTCTAAGTTAAACAGGATGAGCAGAAAATGCAGGGCAGGACTTGATCTTGACAGTCCATAATTGATTAGATGGTAAAAAAAAAAAAACATAATATTGTGCCGAATAAGCTGCATATGAAGCATTCGTGACACTGATGTTTTGATTTTGTTTTTTGCATGTGCATGCAATAAAATTGGAGTGTTTGAAGTCATGGGGTTTGGCAGAGCGCCCACTTCTGCTGTCATTTGTGTTGGCGAATGCCAGTCTCCCTCTCATGGAGAGCATGAATCAGTTGTTAGTGCAGAGGTTGCAGAAAACCGCACAGCAGAGAGAAAGAGAGAGAGAGAGAGAGGGCAAAGAAGAAATGCAGCACCGTGAAATGCATCATATAACTCTGGTCAAGCGAGACTCTCTCTCTTCCAATAGTTCCTTCTATCCATCTCTTCATCTCATGAACGGTCTCCTTCCTCTCCTTTTTGCCGATATCAGCTCTCCACCTCTCATCTCCATTCAATCACTCCATTCACTTTTTTTTCCATTTCACCTTGAAAGCCAATACTAAAGACACAGGAGCAGAAATGATTAAAGAACGTAAATTGATATCACTACCATTTTGCTGCGCTTCAGGAACCCCTCCGAGGCTTTCCACGCTTTTTTAGGGTAATTGTAAAACACATTAGCCATTTTTGCAATGCATATTCATTCATTCTCCTGAATTCCTGTGAACAAGAGGGTAATATCTTTATAAAATTGATACTTCACACACACACATGTTGCGAATCAGCTCATGGGGAAATATGAATAATTAATCATAACTAGTTATAATTAA